CACCGCCCTCGCGCGCCAGTACACTAATTGCACCGGGCCTCTAGTATTATATATACCCAATAAATAAACGAATGAATATATGTTTGTACTAAATTCACAAATGACCAGAAAATCTGGGTGTTTTATTAGCTTACTAGAATCAGGCCTTGCTTTATGCTTATCAGCTGTCCATTTATTTCAGACATAATTTATCCAGAGAATTTACCGACTTCTGCTACTCTTTTGGTTAGGTTAAACTGACCTGTGTTTTTATTTTCAGGGCCAAGTACTTTAGGTAACATTGTAGAAGAGGTGACTCATCCCTGTAACCCCAATCCTTGCCCTGCTAATGAGCTCTGTGAGGTAAACCGGAAAGGGTGTCCATCTGGAGATCCCTGCCTTCCATACTCCTGTGTGCAAGGTGAGAGGTAGATGGGGTGGGATGACTATGGATGTGTTGCTGGCGTTTCTTTATAGGAGTTATCCTATAAGATCACAAGGGACTTTATTTTCTAAATTATGTTTTTCTATAATGTTTGTGGTTTTCCTAGTAAACATGTCATTTGTGTAAGCAGAAAAGGACAAAGACAAATGTAATTATCAGTAGTCATTTAGATTATAAACTAATATTGATCCAAAACTAGGCTCTCATAATGGTTATATGGTTCTTGGTAACAGAAGGAAAAAGAACTTTGGACCAGTTTTTTATACTTTGTACTTTGTGTTGTAATGTTTGAGAATATGTACTGAATGTTGTTTGTGGTTTCTCTTCCTTTTTTTAATATTTAGAGAAAAGGCATTCTCAGTGGGATGTGTAATTACTCCATAAATTTTTATTTTATTTATTTATTTTTTTAATCCTCACCTGAGGATATTTTTCCATTGATTTTTAGAGAGAGTGGAAGAAAGAGGGAAAGACAGAGAGAAATATTGATGTGAGAGAAACACATCAATTGGTTGCCTTCAGCACCAGGGCCTGGGCCAGGGAGGAGCCTAGCCAAACCGGTTTCGGCAACTCCATAAATTTAATGTTGTAGAGAAATGTATATGACTTTAAGCCAGAACATTTTTTATCCCATAGAATTTTGGTAGTCTTTAGCTCTTTGTCGGTTCCTTTAAAATATAGTTGAGGCAACATTGTGCTTTCACTTATTTATTTCCCAATTGAAAATGTTTCTATATCATGTTAGACTTAACATTTTTAAATGTGTGTAAAATAAAAAGGAACAAAAGATAAAATTAAATAAGCATGATGTCTCAAAGGATCATCTATAATATTTGTATAATATCATAATATACCAGCTATAGAGTCATAACAAATCTTGTTAAGATTTGAAATTAATGGGTTTCCCTTAAGCCCAATCAAATATTCAACTTTTTTTAAAAGTTAAGGTATACTTACATTCCATCACTAAAAGTTTTATGACCAAGATTATTCTAAAAATACTATCAGTTTTTATACTCTATTTTAAAAATATCTGTGATTTTAAAATATCTTTGATAAGCCTCCCAAAATAAAAAAACTACATATCTTGTAGCAATTTTAAACAGAATATAGCAACTTTGGGATATAGGTCAGTGATGGCGAACCTTTTGAGCTTGGCGTGTCAGCATTTGAAAAACCCTAACTTAACTCTGGTGCCGTGTCACATATAGAAATTTTTTGATATTTGCAACCATAGTAAAACAAAGATTTATATTTTTGATATTTATTTTATATATTTAAATGCCATTTAACAAAGAAAAATCAACCAAAAAAATGAGTTCGCGTGTCATAGGTTCGCCATCACTGATATAGGTCCTTAATCACCACCATCTCACAGAACATGGAATTTTTGTTTGCGAGAATATGTTTTTGGCCAGTGAATCAAAACAATTACTTACTTTGGTGAAAAAGTCTCTTAATCTTTAATAGACACACAGAACCTATAAGACTTCTGTGAAATGTATCTAATGCATAAAATAGTATCATAGAACAGTACCATCTCTCTCAGCTAAGTTTTGTTTATACAGGTTGCAAATTGGGAGAAGCCTCTGATTTCATCGTTCGTCAAGGGACTCTAATCCAGGTGCCATCGTCCGCAGGTTCGGAAGTTGGTTGTTATAAAATTTGTTCATGTGGACATAGTGGACTCTTAGAAAACTGCATGGAGATGCACTGTATAGACCTTCAGAAGTCTTGTATTGTTGGAGGAAAAAGAAAAAGTGAGTCTTGAACTGTATTTATTTGCTTTTTTTTTAAATATGAGATTAGTTATCTTAACTTTGTAGGAAGAACAGTGAATGGATTCTCACCAAAGTCTAAAAATCAGATACTCCAGGGCAGTATTTTTCAAACTATACAGGGACACCAGGACTTCTAGGAATTCTCTTAGAAGCCTCCTCAAGAAAGGACTAAAAGCTAATAATAATTAACACTTACTGAACTCTTAACTGTATGCCATGCACTATGCTAAGTTTTATGTATGAGATCTTATTTGAAAAAAGAGTGCTCTTGGCTTGCAAATTTCTGCCCTAGAGCATTTAGTTCATATTCTGCTTAGCTAAAAAAAAATGTCACGTAGGTACTTTGTATCACAGAAAATATCTAAGGATAAACAAATTCCTTCCTTCCATAAACTTTCACTGATTAATATCTATTCTATACAAAGAGCATACTAGTGCCCTGTGGAGCTGAGACTGAGGTGAGGGATTGCGGTCATGCTTTCCTTGATAAGAGGAGAGAGAATTTGAGCCACAAAAAGCAGCAAACCAAGCACTCTTCAAGAAGCCAGTTATTTCTGCAAGGGCACTGGGAGAATCTGTGGTCCAAAGGTGGCATCGGGCTGGTCCTGGAGAGATGAGTGAAGTTCCAGAAGGAGGAGAGCGTTTGAGGCAGAAGAGCAGCCAGAAACATTCTCAGAGAATAGGGAGAAGTCTGGTGAGACCAGCCGTTAGGGCTTTGGGGGAGAAGGTGGGGAAGAAATACACAAATATAAATATAAATATACAGATTTAACTCCCAAATTGTATATTCAGAAGTCAGTTTTCAACAACTTGTATTTTAAAACTATTAAGCTTTAAATTTATGATTATTTATAAATGCATGATATGGAACATTTTATTTCTCTCAGGTCATGGAACATCCTTTAATATCGACTGCAATATTTGTTCTTGTTTTGCTGGCAATTTGGTGTGCTCGACCCGCCTGTGCCTCAGTGAACACAGTTCAGAAGATGACCGGCGCACCTTCACAGGTAACCGTGGTCACGGAGAGCGATCTTTGGCAGGCCAGCCTCCCTTTGTACCCATTTTTCCTTCCGGGCAGCTTCTCTGGTCTTGCCTCAATTGCAAAAATACACAGTAAAATGAGTGCATAATCTGTATTTATGAGAGCAAGATACTTTCCCTCTCTGGATCTGTTTCCTCCTCTATGGATTGAAGGCATTAAACAAAATGGTTTCTTAGGGCCCTTCCAGCACTAATATTCTGGAATTGCATGCAAAAAGAACAGGGTCAGTCAGTGACTGGGATGGTTTTGGTTAAATGGAATTTTTCTACCTGCTAAAATACCCCATTTACCCCTGCAAGTATGGTCATGATCTAAAATGTCTGTGTATTTTCTATGTTTGTTTCTGTTCTGATGCTTTTCTCACCACTTTCTTTTTTAAAAATATATTTTTATTGATTTCAGAGAGGAAGGGAGAGAGAGCGATAGAAACATCAATTAGGAGAGAAAATCATTGACCAGCTTGCCCCCCACTAGGGATCGAGCCCGAAACCCGGGCATGTACCCTGACCAGGAATCAAACCATGACCTCCTGGTTCATAGGTCATTGCTCAACCACTGAGCAACACCAGCCAAGCTCACCACTTTATTCCTTGACTTACCTTAGTTTAGCCCACTAGTTCATATATGGTAGAGACTCCTATAAACTAAGCTATAGGTAGGAAAAGTAAAGACTGTTTCTCCCAGTCTGGTGTATAAAATCTAGAATTTAGATGTTTGAAATCTGGCTTGGGGGATTTCTGGGAAGTTAAAGGGTAATGCCAAAAACAAGACAGAAGGCAGTAAACTCCTCACATGGGTTCTTTCCACTGGTTTCCTTAGGGGTTTCTCCAAAAAATTAACCTGGAAAATTGTTTTAATTTTGAGACAAGAATTTTTCTGAACAAATACAATTAAGAATACTACTTTCTTGACTTTCCTATGCTTTCTGCTACTGGAATGCTCACACCAGCTACAGTAGGTGAAAATGTTGGTGAGATGAGATGCCCTTTTCCTGAGATGAAGCTGCAGTTGTCAACAGCAGCAGCACAGTCTACTGGTATTTATTGGCCTCTGCTTTTTCCCAGATCTGAAATACCACTGGTTCTGGGTAAAGAGGAACCAGGTGGTTGCCCTTGTCTTGTTTCATACTGCTACAGCTATTTGATTTTTCTTCCCCTGGAGTGGGGTTGGGGAGAACAGGGTAGGGTTTACCTACATTGTATCTCCAGCACATTGGAAATAAGAAGTGAACAGCAGACTGATGGGGAAGTATAGGCAAGATGAACTCCACCCCATCCTCTATGAACCCTAATAAGCACCAGCCCTCATTGCTAATTGTTGTTCTTTATTTATTATTATCCTTTATCTACTCTGCTCTGCTAAGGACAATAATTCTGCTTAGAAAAACCATGAAACTTCCATAGGAATGAAGAGTGAACTATGGATGTAGCCGGGAGACATTTATTTATTTATGTATTTGCTTACATCTAAATGATTTTGAAAGATGGACTTTACAATTATCAGGACCCCTTTCCCTGCAGCCCCTCATGTCCTGCAATAAATTAAGTTCATGACTATTTAGCTAACAGACTCTCAGGAGATTTTACTGGCCCCAAAATGCACATTTCTTGGTACCCAGATAGTGTTCCATACCAAACATGACTCAGAGAGAGAGAGAGAGAGAGACAAAAATTCTTAAGCCTCAAAACTACAATAATTTCCCGACTTACCTTATTCTCCCCCTTCCAGAAGGAGACGGGAAGAACCTATGTGAGGAGTTAAAACCTTCTCTACTTTGTCTTGTTTTTTGTACTTGTTGGTCCATATTCTGCTTACCTAAAATCTAAGGTGGGTACAGTCTAGAAATCCCCCAAGCCAAACTTTAAACTTCTAAATTCTAGATTTTATACTCCAGATTAGGAAGAATATTCTTTACTTTTTCTACCTATACCTTTGTTTATAGGGGTCTCTAACCCTGGCATCAAAGTCTGGGGGCCCTCAATTATCTGGCAGTAAATGGTACAAAGGAAAGCCATTATTCAGCAAACGGCTTTTCAGAGCCTGCTGCCTTTCAGAGATTGTAGGGCAAGTTTTTTTAAACTTAATTTTCAATCTATCTTAACATGAGACCTCTACATGATTGTTAGTGGTTTGCCTTCCTGAGGAAATATCAGGGAAAGGGGCATATACAAGTCCACATCTTGAGACTGTTTCCTCTCTTCAGGACTGCCCTGTAACTGTGCAGACCAGTTTGTCCCCGTGTGTGGGCAGAATGGACGCACCTACCCCAGTGCGTGCATTGCTCGCTGTGTGGGCCTCCAGGACCAACAGTTTGAGTTTGGATCGTGCATCTCAAAAGACCCATGTAATCCTAACCCCTGCCCCAAAAACCAAAGGTAAGTCAAATGGCTCCTCATCCTTTTAACTGAAGATGAGCATCTAGTATGTACAGACAATGAAAATACAAAGATGAATTCAGAAGGTCTCTGCCCTGGATAGAGTCTAGAGGGCAAGAGCCATGGAAAGCTGGTTGGTGACTTGCCGTGTGATTGGGGGCCTGGGAGTGGAGCCGCTGGTGCAGCCTGGGGGAGGCCGAGAAAGCCTATACAATGTGACATTCGTCTGGAAAGATGAGTGGGACAGGGCAGGCAAGGTTTACACTGGAGGAAAGATGATGTTGCAGTGAAGGCAGAGAGAGCAAAGATCCTGACTGCTGGCCATGAGATAGCACAGTATATGCTGCGAGCTATAGCAACAGTTTTGTAAAAACTGGAACAGAAAGTGTGAGGCAAGGAGGGGTAACATGAGATGAGAGAAATGAATGTATTCTAATTATTAACTGTTTATGCCCGATAATAATGGGAAATTTTCTTCTACTTACCTACCTCCGTTTTAGGAACTGAATGTGAGAAATCTCTGGAAAATGCAGCTTCAGTATTATTTGACATTTTTTGTTAGGGGCCCTTTCTCTGCAGTTTTCTCACAAGCCCAGGGTAGAGTTGACCTGCCCTTCGTGGATTTCTGTGTGTGGTGGCCACAGGGCAAGTGTCCTGCTGGCTCTGAGGTTGCAGCCTCTGGAGCTGGGCTTCACTGGCCGCCGCATGGACCCGAGCAGGGCACATCCCAGTGCCACAGCCCTTTCCTTAGGAAGGACTTTGTGCGAAATAAGCAGTTGCCTCTCTCCATCCTTAAAACTCTGTGCAGTAGGGAGGGAGAGGAAGAGTTTCTGATGTGTTAAAGAAATAGCAAAGGGAATTGGTTGCCCATCTGGCAAAGTTTATATCATGAAATCTAAGGCCATAAAGTTCCTATGGAACGAAGACAGAGTGCTATGCATTAAAAAAAAAAGATAAATAAGTAAGCCAAAAGGATAATATAGCTGTGTTGGGAACTAGAATTGAGGGTTGTTTAGTATCTGCTTGTTTGTTTTCCTCTATTTGCTAATCTTTCTAATAGATTATCTTGGTTTTATAATTTAAAAATGTATAAAATCTCAAAAGGGGGATGTCCTTTCTGAGTATAATACAGTGATGGCGAACCTATGACATGCGTCTCAGAGGTGACACACGAACTCATTTTTTTGGTTGATTTTTCCTTGTTAAATGGCATTTAAATATATAAAATAAATATCAAAAATGTAAGTCGTTGTTTTACTATGGTTGCAAATATCAAAAAAATTTCTATATGTGACACGGCACCAGAGTTAAGTTAGGGTTTTTCAAAAAATGCTGACATGCCGAGCTCAAAAGGTTCGCCATCACTGGTATAATACAAAATCAACATAAAAAATTGAAAACTGCAGCTATATGAAAATGAAAATGTTCTTCATGGTCACAGACAAATAACAAACTGGGAAGAATATCACAGAGAATGGTTCGATGTCCTTATAAGAGTCCTTACAAATCAATGTGAAAAAGATCAACAGTCTAATATAAAAATGGGCAAAGAGTGATAACATAATAGAAAAATGGACCAAGGACATAAACATAGAAAAAGAAGTAACAAATAGTTCTTGAACACTTGAAAAGGTGCTTTTACCCCTGGCCAGGTAGCTCAGTTGCTTAGTGTTGTCCAAGGTTTGAAATACACATGCTCTTTGAATCAGCATTTTCTCGATACACCAAGGTTGCGGGTTTGATCCCCGATCAGGGCACATACAAGAATCAACCAATGAATGTGTAAATATGTGGAACAAGAAATCTTTCTCTCTCTCTCTCTCTCTCTCTCTCTCTCTCTCTCTCTCTCTCTCTCTCTCTCTCTCTCTCTCTCTCTCTCTCTCTCTCTCTCTCTCTCTCTCTCTCTCTCTCTCTCTCTCTCTCATCAATAAATAAAAATAAAAGATGCTTTTAATAGTTAGGGTGAGTAACTCTAGCTACTGTATGTAAACCCCAAAGCATCATCACTCTAACATAACAGAAGCAAATACAGTC